TTCATTGTTTACTTATCCCATAATATTATTCCTAATGCTTGACACAGAAACATCATGTTTATATTCCATTTCTTCCTTCAAGTTAATTTCTTTGGCTAATTTATCAGCTTTATCATCCAGGAGTAATTTATTGTCTGACGGAATCCATTCTGTGAGCATGTTGTTAATTCGTATCCCTAACTCAACAATGTTGCTATAGTTGTTTCTAGGGAGGTGGGAAGCAACAAGAGCAGATGCAGCTCTGCCAGTAGACTCCAGCTTAACTACGTCACTGTATAGAATTTGTGATATATTATTAATAACAGTTAAGCCAGAAATCTCTACTTGATCAGTTGCCTTTCCAAGTGATCTAACGAAGGAATTACTAAGGGTGAGCTTATTTGATCTACCCTTCCTTTCCTCGGATCAAGCCCTGATTAAACTTCACATTCTCTCGGCGCTGTATGACACCTACAGGTGGGTGTGAGCTCTGGTGGGGGGCGGTGTGAGTCACCACAGGTGTGGAGTATTGTGCAGCTGGTGGTGGTCACCGCCCTCCTCCATACCTGTCTCACTCCACACCACCCTAACCAGGTGTATCTCCCCCCCACACCCACACCGTCCGTGTTCCCACATTAACATGCTTCAATGACACATGGATGTTCATTACTGTGGGGATACATTGTTAGTACTTGTGGAGTGTGTGTAGGAGTGGGCGGGGCTGTGGCGTGTGACGTGGGCGGGACTGTGACATGTGACGTGGGCGGGACTGTGGCTCGTGACGTGGGCGGAGTGTTTGGTTCGTCTCACAGGAATCCTTCTAATGCCGATGGGTGTGTGGGCGCGTGCTACTCATCCGACGGCTTATATGTTATGTTGGTGTGCAGTGTTGTTGCCCTCCCAGGCGATCACCGCTGCTGGGACGACGTGAGTCGTGTTGGGTCGTCGTGGATGATGGGGGGAAAGGGGTCATAGTGGGTCGTGGTGGATTCTAGTGGTGTGCTGCTGGGTCGTCGTGAGTCGTTGCGATGGTCTCCCTTAGGTGGTCAGCGCTTCAGGGTGGGATGGGGGATGAAACAGGCAGGAAGTGGTCGCTGGTAATAGCTCATCTGCGACCCCGGGCCATGGGCACCGTTTAGCATATGGCCTTCCTTACCTGCAGTGCACACATACACTTTCCACGATCATTATCTGCTCCAATTCTGGTGGCGAAGGTTACTTCTTCAGTGAATCACTGAACCGTGATAGGGAAACAACCACCATCTTAATTGTCCATCCCAAACAAGGTTGCTTCTTGTACGTGATAGAGACAGAAGCAGTAATTGGTAACATTATTCAGATCACGCCTCGCCTATACAACAGGCTTTTTCAAGACTAATAGATCCAATTTGGTGATAGTACAATATATAGGCAGGACAGACAAATATTGTCCACTCCTAACATGGACGCTCGTCCTCCCTCGGACCAACGTCACTCTGGCATATTAAGAAAGGATATAAATAATGTGTAATGTGTACTGTTCTCACCGAATAAACATTATACGCTAACGAGAAAATTAAAGGTTACCACAGCTGTGCTCGCCCAACTGTGGTTACAGGGGAAGGGTCTATTCACAGCTTTTGGTCCCGCCTCATCGACATTTTTTATAGGTTATCACGCTAAGCACACCAGTCGGACCTATTGAACCTGCATCATTTACTTCTCCCTCCAGATCATTCAACTTCCCAACCACACTGAAACTAAAGAATTTCCTGACGTCTATGTGGCACATTCTCGTTTCTTATCCTCCTAGCTGTGTTCTGTTGTCACTAGACTTCTTTCCCAACAGTCTAACTCTATCCACGTTTTCAGTGCCCCAGTGCATAAATTACGTAACGTGTCTATGATGCTGGCCTACCACAGCAGTCAAGTTCGGCTCCTTTAGTCTTGTGGTCACTGACGTGTAGTCCAGTGATAGTGTACTTCCATTCAACAGAGAGACTTGTATTCAGTCTTAGGTGGGTGTAAATGCATAGCCATATCTCCTTATACATATTGCCCATGTTCACCTAGCAGTACATATGTGCCTAGGTGTTAGTTGGTGTTTGTGAGTGGTATCCTGGAGGGTGGTAAAATATTTGTAACAGGGCTGGTCTTCAGTATGAGTGGAGGCGGAATACACCTCTTATCATGTAAATAACTGAGGTAGGATATATCATAGAATGTAAATGAGTTAAGGCAGGATAGAGTGATAATGATATGAGGTGGGATAACAGCTCTTAGCGTGTAAACTCGACATTGTAAAACAGTGTTTGTTCCACTTGTAATCTCACTTCTGACACTTAACATTTAGATAGTTAAAACAATAAAACGCGGGTTTAGCTGCTACAGTAAAAAAACAAATCTTCACACAATCAGCCTTGACATTACTGTTAGTTTCACCTCAGTCTATAAACTAATCTATAAAAGGATAATTTTTACAAGGCAAATTTGTTTTCCCCATTTTCCATATAGGTGCGTGTGTGAGTTGACTGAGCAGTGATGACACTTGTGAGTTGACCAAGCAGTGATGACACTTGTGAGTTGACCAAGCAGTGATGACACTGGTGAGTTGACCGAGCAGTGATGACACTTGTGAGTTGACCAAGGAGTGATGACACTTGTGAGTTGACCAAGCAGTGATGACACTGGTGAGTTGACTCAGCAGTGATGGCACTTGTGAGTTGACTGAGCAGTGATGACACTTGTGAGTTGACCAAGGAGTGATGACACTTGTGAGTTGACTGAGCAGTTATGACACTTGTGAGTTGACCAAGCAGTGATGACACTGGTGAGTTGACTCACCAGTGATGGCACTTGTGAGTTGACTGAGCAGTTATGACACTTGTGAGTTGGCTGAGCAGTGATGATACTTGTGAGTTGACTGAGCGGTGATGACACTTGTGAGTTGACTGAGCAGTGATGACACTTGTGAGTTGACTGAGCAGTGATGACACTTGTGAGTTGACTGAGCAGTGATGACACTTGTGAAGTTTACACTTTCTTGTAAGAATCAACTCATACTCGTTCTCACAAACACACTTACAGAGGATGAAGACACGCGCAAAACACTCAAACATTCACGTGTCACGCTACACACATACACATACACCACAACCACACACACACAACACACACACAACACACACACACACACAAGAAACACACAACACACACACAGCAACGACACACAGACACATCATACACACATACCATACAAAGTTACACTCACAAATATACATTAACCAGAATATCATATATGGAAGTCACGCTTGCATTTACCAAAACAAACACATGATGCACTTACAAACACATGATGCACTTACAAACATGTGATGCACTTACAAACATATGATGTACTTACAAACATATGAAGTACAAACAAATGACCCCTAACAGAACACTGAAACACAAACACATAGAATTATAACTACAGTATCATCCTGATTCTGAGTATATAAGGACATGCAGCAGAGGGCTGGGATAATATTCACCACTAAGTCTGGATATCTTCCTCCCACACAGGTAGGTATCAGCTATTATGATATCACTGATACGGAGGTGCGATCTGCTTGTGACAAGCCCGGAGGCGAAGCTTGAAGTGGGCATCCCTCTTCCCATTCTTGAAACCATCCTGCTTAAGTATATCAGTTGGGTTCGATACGGCGCACGCTGTCAGCGGCCCTATAAACCCCAACAACAAGTGTATCAGTTCTAGTAGACCAAAAAAATCACGGAGACTAAAAAATCTGTGATCTGTTTCGTTGGTAAAATTAAATGTGTGGGCAATATAAAATTTCCTCTAAACTGTGTGACACAATGACTGCCAGAATCAGGCTGGTACATCGTCACCTGTGGCAGTTAACACAGGTGAGCCATGTAAGTCTGCAAAGAGGAGACACCACCTTCACCATTATATAGGTGAATGTTCGGCTGTCAGTGACTTCAGGTCTGGTGGAATATAGTGCCTGGCACTGTGTGAATACTTTATGTGCTTTGGGTTATTTATGTTTGTCCTTATTGTTCACTCTGAAGTTATCAGTCTAGTGGCGCTGGGCCGACAACCATCCCAAGTGTTGCAATGACTACCACCCCAGGTGCTGGGACAACAGCCATCCCAAGTGCTGGGACGACAACCATCCTAGGTTCTGTGACGATTGCCATCCTATGTTCTGGGAGACGACCATCCCAGATGCTGGGACGACAACCATCCTAGGTGCTAGGACGACTACATCCCAGGTGCTGGGACGACAACCATCGTAGGTTCTGGGATGACTGCCATCCTATGTTCTGGGAGACGATCATCCCAGGTGCTGGGACGACAACCATCCTAGGTGCTAGGACGACTACATCCCAGGTGCTTGGACGACAACCATCCTAGGTGCTAGGACGACTACATCCCAGGTGCTGGGACGACAACCATCCTAGGTGCTAGAACGACTACATCCCAGGTGTTGGGACGACAACTATCCTAGGTTCTGGGACGACTGCCATCCTAAGTGCTGGGATACAAAGCTGTCACAGTGTTATTCCTCTACCTCACCGTGTAACAACACTCGGAGGTACACATATATCCTTTTAAGCATGGAGGAACTTTCGAGAAGGTGGAGGGGGGGAAGGGGGGATTGGATTGATGTGTTGTAAGTAGGGGGAGTCAAGGTCCTTGAAGATACCGGAGGCACTTGTGTGCCATACTTCCGTCTACCTTCCACTGGCACCTTTACGTCTGTCTCTTGCAGCGGCATTTGGCATATCTGTATGCAACTGTTCTTGACAACGGTGCAAGTGAGCGAGGGAGAGCGGGTGGGGTGGGTGGCAGGTGGGGCAATGTGCGAGGTGTGGGCCAGGTGGGTGGATGAACACCTCAGGCTGGTCACTAAAGAGTGACATTCAGAATGTTACGTGATCCTGCTGTCACACACGAGACAGGTGTTACAGACAGGAGGTAAGAGTAGGTGGAGGCAGGGGGGGAGGTCTGTGTTGGTGGTTCTGGATTGGGGGGGTAGGCACTCGCTGCCCACCCGGGCACGGAGGCTGGGGGGCACGGCTGCCCACCCTCTGATGGTGATGGTGGGCAGCAGGGAAGTCAGTCAGTGAGGTGCTGCCGTGACGTTCGGACGTACGCTCCACTCAGCTCTTCCAACATTCCATGCGTGCTAAGGTAAAGTCACTAGTTTGTGTGGTCACGTACAGTGAGGCGGGAACACCTCCTCTCACTCGCCTCACATTAATATCCTCTTCACTCATCGTCAACAATACTTCAGTTATTGTTCGTTGCATAATAACCCAACTATTCCCATTGTTTACATCTGGTGTCGAGTTGTTGTGTCATGAAGGTGACTGTTGCATCACACAGCTGCTCTTACTGCCTCTCTACCCATATGACGCTCTGTTTCTCGCCTGTTTGAAAATCTTAACTAAAAACGCCTGCAAAACCTTAAAAAAAAAGTCGGGAAAATATTGCGAAATCCCAATATTTTCATTTTTTATATAAATTGTGAAGATATTTGTTCAATTTTCCCATTAAAATTAAGTTTTTGAGAGTAGATTCGAAGTCTTGACAACTGTACTGCCAGTCCAGGCTTCTCAGAAATACAATATCTGTAAAAACATATTAATGTCGAGCGCTGGAGGCTCGATCCTCCGTCAGCTAGTCACCAGACACAAATGTTGATCTCGAGACAAGTACTGCAAGACGCTGCAACAACGACTTCAACAAAATGCAGGAACGATTCAACAGCTGCCTTCTTGGACTCGTCTCCAGTGAATGCAAAGTTATGCTGCGCCGGGAGGTGTTTAGAAGTCTTCAAGACGAAACTGGACAAGTATCTTCACCAGGCGCCAGATCAACCTGGCTGTGATGGATATGTGGGTCAGCGGGCCTGCCACCAGCAGCGTCAGCCTGGTTGACCAGGCAAGCATCAGATAGAGCCTGGCCCCAAGAAGCAAATGTATGGGATCAGGAGGCTGTAGGAGGCATAAAGTAAACTGTCTCCTGAGAGGTCAGTCACTGGATGAGAGAGAGGTAGGAGAGTACATCACATCACTCACACAAACAGAATAGCATCGGTAAAATATACAATGCTGGCCATTTTAAGAATATAAGAAAGGCCTTTATAATTACTACACAATATAACTCGCGAAATCGTAATCACACGATTACAAACAAACCATACCACGGGTGGGGGTAGAACCCGCGGTCAGAGAGTCGGTCTGGAGTTTTATGGTTCTCAGACCGCGGGTTCTATCCCGCCCGTGGTATGGTTTGCTTACTACACAGTATAATCAAGATTAATACTGCAGTTCCTAACTATTTTGGAGGTGACGGGTCCTCTTTCAAAATCTCATGAATTATTATTATAATCAAAAAGAAGCGCTAAGCCACAAGGAAAAATCTCATGAAAACTTGGGCCCTCACGCCTACAAACATACTCTCAAACACTCGTTCACAACAGGTATATACACACAACAGTGTCCTTAAGATATAATATGCCATTTTTTTTCACTTAATAATACTGTCAGGATATTAGAACAACCTCATGGCAGAGTTGATCAGCTTTCAATAGTCTCAGTATTGTCACTCTCAGAATATACTCCATTCTGACTGTATATTCATAGTTTTTTTTTTTTTTTAAAACAGAACAAGATATCCCGAAGAGGTACCTTGAGAATGCCTCTTCTGATCAGCTTCAAACCTTCAAAACTGGTGTATTAACCTTTAGAAGGTTTAGACTTTTTTTTAGAATATGTAGGTTCCATTTTGTCAACTTTTGTTTTCAAATGTTATTTACATTGTCTGAACGACCTAAATGTTTGGAAAAATTAAACACAAATGTTGTATAATGTAATCCTTTATTGGCTACGTTTCGCCCATATAGTGAACTTTATCAAGTCACAGACAGATGTACCTGGGTAGAGAGTACACGAGTATATATAGTGATGAGTCAGGTGGAGAATGTTGGGTAGGTTGTGTTAGAGACTGACCTGCCCGGGACGGGTCAGTGTGCATGTTGTGTAGGATAACGATGGCCAGGTGTTCACCTGAACACCTGGCCAGGAAACTTCATCGTTATCCTATATAAGATACTCACCTGCCCGTCCCGTGAAGGTCCATCTCTAACACAACCTACCCAACATTGTCCAATAAAGTTAGTAATAAGAGTTGCACATGTGTCTAATTTAACAACATGTCGGTTCTCTGAACCATTCATCTACGATAGGTTACCTTCCTGGGAAGTGTCGGTGGTGTTCGCTAAGTGTTGGTGGTGTTCGCTAAGTGTTGGTGGTGTTCGCTAAGTGTCGGTGGTGTTCGCTAAGTGTTGGTGGTGTTCGCTAAGTGTTGGTGGTGTTCGCTAAGTGTTGGTGGTGTTCGCTAAGTGTCGGTGGTGTTCGCTAAGTGTCGGTGGTGTTCGCTAAGTGTCGGTGGTGTTCGCTAAGTGTTGGTGGTGTTCGCTAAGTGTCGGTGGTGTTCGCTAAGTGTTGGTGGTGTTCGCTAAGTGTTGGTGGTGTTCGCTAAGTGTAGGTGGTGTTCGCTAAGTGTTGGTGGTGTTCGCTAAGTGTCGGTGGTGTTCGCTAAGTGTTGGTGGTGTTCGCTAAGTGTCGGTGGTGTTCGCTAAGTGTTGGTGGTGTTCGCTAAGTGTTGGTGGTGTTCGCTAAGTGTCGGTGGTGTTCGCTAAGTGTTGGTGGTGTTCGCTAAGTGTCGGTGGTGTTCGCTAAGTGTTGGTGGTGTTCGCTAAGTGTCGGTGGTGTTCGCTAAGTGTCGGTGGTGTTCGCTAAGTGTCGGTGGTGTTCGCTAAGTGTTGGTGGGTGTTCGCTAAGTGTCGGTGGTGTTCGCTAAGTGTCGGTGGTGTTCGCTAAGTGTCGGTGGTGTTCGCTAAGTGTCGGTGGTGTTCGCTAAGTGTCGGTGGTGTTCGCTAAGTGTTGGTGGGTTCGCTAAGTGTTGGTGGTGTTCGCTAAGTGTCGGTGGTGTTCGCTAAGTGTCGGTGGTGTTCGCTAAGTGTCGGTGGTGTTCGCTAAGTGTCGGTGGTGTTCGCTAAGTGTCGGTGGTGTTCGCTAAGTGTCGGTGGTGTTCGCTAAGTGTCGGTGGTGTTCGCTAAGTGTTGGTGGTGTTCGCTAAGTGTCGGTGGTGTTCGCTAAGTGTCGGTGGTGTTCGCTAAGTGTCGGTGGTGTTCGCTAAGTGTCGGTGGTGTTCGCTAAGTGTTGGTGGTGTTCGCTAAGTGTCGGTGGTGTTCGCTAAGTGTCGGTGGTGTTCGCTAAGTGTCGGTGGTGTTCGCTAAGTGTCGGTGGTGTTCGCTAAGTGTCGGTGGTGTTCGCTAAGTGTCGGTGGTGTTCGCTAAGTGTCGGTGGTGTTCGCTAAGTGTCGGTGGTGTTCGCTAAGTGTCGGTGGTGTTCGCTAAGTGTCGGTGGTGTTCGCTAAGTGATCTTCAGTAAAGAAATAGTGAAACGTGGTGGTGGTGCCCCATGAAGATGATGTTAATGGTATTTGATGGAGTGGAGTGATGGTAGTGATATTGTTGGTGGATGTGGTGGTGGTAATGGTGGTGGTGGTGGGTAGTGGTGGTAATAGTGATATTGTTGGTGGATGTGGTGGTGGTAATGGTGGTGGTGGTGGTAGTGGTGGTAATAGTGATATTGTTGGTGGATGTGGTGGTGGTAATGGTGGTGGTGGTGGTAATGGTGGTGGTGGTGGTTGTAGTGGGGGTGGGTAATGGTGGGTGGTGGTAGTGGGGGTGGTAATGGTGGTGGTGGTAGTGATATTGTTGGTGGATGTGGTGGTGGTAATGGTGGTGGGGTAGTGATATTGTTGGTGGATGTGGTGGCGGTAGTGGTGGTGGTGGTGGTGGTAGTGATGGGGGTGGTAGTGGTGGTGGTAGTGGTGGTGGTGGTAGTGATGGTAGTGGTGGTGGTGGTGGTAGTGATTGGTGGTAGTAGTGGTGGTGGTGGTGGTAGTGGTAGTGGTGGTGGTAGTGATGGGGGTTAGTAGTAAATGGTGGTGGTAGTGATGGTGGTAGTAGTGATGGTGGTGGTAGTGATGGTTTTGGGTAGTGGTAGTAGTGGTGGTGGTAGGCAACACCACCACTAAACAAACCAGACAGACGCGTCATATCACTGTTTGGTTCCAGAATGAAAAAACAAGACCTGTTAAAAAAAGGTTGAAGTTACGCATTACTGTGTATGTGTGTGTGTGTATGTGTGTGTGTGTGTGTGTGTGTGTGTGTGTGTACGTGGTGTGTTACGTGTGTGTGTGTGTGTGTACGTGTGTGTGTGTGTGTGTGTGTGTGTGTGTGTGTGTGTACGTGTGTGTGTGTTGTGTGTGTGTGTGGTACGTGTGTGTGTGTGTGTGTGTGTGGTGTGTGTGTGTGTGTGTGTGTGTGTGTGTGTACGTGTGTGTGGTGTGTGTGTGTGTACGGTTTGTGGTGTGTGTGTGTGTGGTGTGTACGTGTGTGTGTGTGTGTGTGTGTGTGTGTGGTGTGTGTGTGTGTGTGTACGTGTGGGGGGTGTGTGGTTTGTGTAGTGTGTGTGTGTGTGTTGTGTGTGTGTACGTGTGTGGGTGTGTGGTGTGTGGGGGTTTGGTTGTGTGTGTAGTGTGTTGGGTGGTGTGTGTGTGTACGTGTGTGTGTGTGTGTGTGGGGTGTGTTGGTGTGTGTGTGGGGTCGTGTGTGTGTGGGGTGTGGTGTTTTGTGTGTGTATGTGGGGGTGTGTGTATGGGGTTTTACGGTGGTGTGTGTGTGTGTGTGTGTGTGTACGGGTGTGTGTGTGTGTGTGTGTGTGTGTGTGTATCACCTATTTGAGGTTGGGGGGCGAGCCGAGCCCTGGCCCCCCCTCTTCACTGAGCTACTAGGTCACTTTCCCTGACCTGAGCTTTTCATACCTCGCTTAAAGCTAGTTGGACCTGCCCCCCACAATCGCTTCCCAAATTTCCACTTACTGACTACTTGTGGCTGAAGAAATACTTCCTAACATCCCTGTGATTCATCTGTGTCTTCAGCTTCCAACTGTGTCCCCTTGTTACTGTATCCAATCTCTGGAACATCCTGTCTTTGTCCACCTTGTCAATTCCTCTCAGTGTGTGTGTGTATATGTGTGTATGTGTGTGTGTGTGTGTGTGTGTGTGTGTGTGTGTGTGTGTGTGTACGTGTGTGTGTGTGTGTGTGTGTGTGT